GCCGGCTAATAGCTTCGCGCGCTACCAGGGCCGTCTCGTTCCCTCTCGCCGCAATGGCTGGCGCGGACGCTCTCCGCCTGTTTTTTCTATAAACCTGGTCTCCAGCTACAAATCAGTTTCACGTGACTCGCGCGGTCCGCCCGGCGACACACTCGTGCGAAAATAATGCCACTAATGGAGAAAAATCGCCCGAGTGTGATAACGGGATGCCTTCCGTATCCGCTAATGCGCTACACGTTGTGCTACAACTACCCGCGCAATTAAACGAAACATGTCGTCGGGATGCTGCGTGAAAAAGCAAAAAAAAAAGGGAGCAGAGACGAGAGGGTAGGGAGGGACGAAAAAGAGAAGCGAGAGAGAGAGAGAGAGAGAGAGAGGGAGAGAGAGAGAGGAAAACGAACGGACGTTGTCATTAGAGAATCTTCCTCGCCGGCTAGGCGCAGCCAGTCGTAACGCGAAACACAAAGGTGTTGACGGCCGTCGACAAACGTAACAGAACGCGCTGGAAACAACGAGAGCGCGAGCGCGAGCGCGAGCGCGAGCGTCGACCACAGCGGGACAAGTGAATTAATTAACGACGGCTGATAATCGCGACAACTTGCAACTCGCGGAGGAGATCGCCGGCCGGCCGCCTGCCTCGGCGACGGGACGCGATCCGGCTGGCGATCGCGCTGACCTGATTTTCCGCGGGATTAATCCGCGTGATTCACTCTCGGAATCGTTCTGCTCCGGCCTCTCGACTCACGGCAGGCTTTATTTTCCCGCCCCCTCCGACCACCCCTCGCCCTCGCCGCCCTCGTTCGCAGCATCGCGCGCATCAACGTACGCGGCGATCCATATAACGAGGCTGGCGGGGTGGACGGGGGAGGGGGGTCGAGCCGACGCAGCTTCGAGGGATCTTCGGGATCCTTCGAATTGGAGGGAATCGAGAGACTGTGAAATTTTCATTCGAGCTACGCCGGAATGTCGCCGCTGACCACTCGGCGGGAATTCACTCCCGGCGTCGTCTAATAACTCGAGTAGAAGAGGGACGCTCCTCCGGCAGATACGACTATAACAAGGAATAATTAAATCACAAGGACAAACGGCTTGCCTCCCCCTCTCCTCCCCCCTGCCGCACTCTCTTTCGCTGTCTCGCTCCTCGCGGAGAGTGTTTTCCACCGCCCGGAAATATCTCGCGATCTTGGACGTCCGTCCCGAGAAGGACGCGACGCGTTCCTCGAAACGACGAAACGGTCGAAAGTGCTTACCGCTAATTTTAAGGAGGAGCTCTCGATACGTCGCGGAGCGAATCAAAAGTGAGAAACAAGTATCTCCTTTTTCTTTATGTTGACGGAGTATACAAGGGAGAGATGCGCAGCGCGGGCAAAAGTGTGAAGCACGTTCGGTGGGGAAAGATGCAGCTGCGATCTTTTCGGTAAAGTTTTAGGCGCTCTATAACATTAGCAGGGGGAGACACCTGTGAACGTTCCATCGGAAGATTATTTTCGATCGCGATCACAATGGCGCGCTAGTGTAGCCGCTCGCTCGCTCGCTCGCTCGCGTCCGCCGCACCGTATCGCGGCCCGCTCCCGTAAAAAAGAGTACACGGACACTTAATTAATACCCGAGACACACGTAAATTTTATTCCGCCGAGGGTCGAAGCGCGCAAAAACGAAACGCGGGAGTGCAGTTAATTAATTATTCCCTTATTACGCTACACCCTACGCTAGGACGTACGGACGGACGAACGGACGGACGGACGAAGAGGGCGCGGCGAGGGTTTGGGAGGAGAAGACCGAGGCTGCAGTCGTCTCATTTCTGACTACCTAGCGAAAATTTCACTAAAGTGCTGCTCATGTGGAAATGACATAATTCGCGTGCGGCAAGGGCAATTGGCAGTAATTAAAGTGGGGCGGCGGGAGGGAGGGAGAGAGACAGGGAGAGCGCGCGCGTGAGAGAGAGAGAGAGAGAGAGAGAGAGAGAGCGAGCGCACGTGAGAGGACGGGTGGAAGGCCGGAGGGCAGCGGGGCATGAATGAAATTAAGGCGGGTAGCGAAGATGACCGTTTACATGGGTCCACGTCTGCTCGAGTCCGCTCTCTCTCTCTCTCTCTCTCTCTCTCTCTCTCTCTCTCTCTCTCTCTCTCTCTCTCTCTCTGTGCCACGACAATAAAATGAATTTGCATACGGGACAACTCGCCCCCGGACGAATGTCCCGTGTCTGCCTCTCTCGGGCGGAACATTTTCCTCGGACGGACGGCCGGACGGAGTCATCGGCGCGCTCGGAAAGAGCCTGAATTGCCGTGTATTAAGAATTTATTAGTCGACGTTTCCCGAATCCCTCGCGCGACGACGAATCTCCCCGCGGCAACGCTCACGAATTTCGCCTCCCTCCCCCTCCCGGCTTTCGCCCCCGGCACGGCGAGCAAAGGCGACCGAGCTCTCATTAACCCGTCGAGGACACTGTCGCTTTACGACAGTCGCGATCGACTGAAAAATATACACGCATGGACGCACTCTCTCTCTCTCTCTCTCTCTCTCTCTCTCTCTCTTTCCGCGTGCTAATTTCTCCACCCGCGCCGGTTGTCGCCGATAAGCCCGTCGTTGGAGCTCGCGCGGCCCCGGCGGGATGAAATGGTAACGCATAACGGCGCGGCGAGCGACGTCGTATCGGGGCGTTCTGGACTTCAGACGCTCTCAAACTGAAACGGACAAAGGCGAGGCGCAAAAACTGCCGCGCGCGCGCGCGCGCTGGCGAGCCGGCGGGAAAATGAGGCGAAGTGCGAAACGCGTCGCAGCATTTTTGCGGCCGACGACCGCTCGTTGCTATACGCGCTCGTTCTCCCGCTCCCTTCCTCCCTCCCTCCCTTCCTCCCTGCCCCTTCTTTGCTCCCTCCTCATTTTTCCTGCTCCCCTCCCCCCCTCTCTCTCTCTCTCTCTCTCTCTCTCTCTCGTTCTTTCGCTCGCTCGCGCTATAACGTATTTGCGAGATCCGCCGCGTTGATGGACATATAATGCGACGTGTGATTGTAGGCCCGCCAATCGCGGCCGATTGTGCCCCTGAAGGCCCGCTAACTATCTCAAACTAGCCCCATTCAAGCCTCGCGACCTCTCTCTATCCGCCTCTATCCGTCTATATCCGCCTCTGTAGCGCGCCACCTCAGCCACTCTCTACCCCTTTCGCTCCTCTCCGAGCCCCCGGGTCCCTTCTCCGACCCTCCGTCACCGCCACCACCACCACCGCCGCCGCCGCCGCCGCCGCCGCCGCCGCCGCCGCCGCTGCCGCCGTCGCTACCACCGCCGTCGCCGCCGCCGCCGCCGCCACCCACGCGTTTCCGCGCTTCAACGTTAGCGCGCGACTCTACGCGCGCGTCTCCGCACGATTTCTCCACGTTATGTGTGTATGTGTATAATATATGTGTGCGTGTGTGCATGTAGTGCGCGTGTGTGTGCGTGTGTGTGTGTGTATAATATAAGCCACGTAGGACGTATGTGGAAATTCCGAATCTATCAGCCGCCCAGACGAATGCAAATGGCGCATGAAGCGCGCTTAATAAAGCCCGCGCACGCAACTTGCGAATCGCAATTTTCTTTAGGACGTGCCGCCCCGTCACGATCGCGCGGCCGCGCCCGCCGGCGGAAAAATTCTGCACGGGCTCGCGCGACGCGCATCGACGCGGGGATTCATCGGGATATTAAATAAATGCTTCGTCACTTAGCGGCGTCCCGGCGAATTCGTGTCGCGAATGCGTACGTGGCGGGCGCTCGCGCGCGACTTTCAACGACTCAATACCCGGTTTGATCGCGCTCGCGAGCCCGTTTTTTCGGCCGCGCGGGAATGTTCGCGATCGCGCGAATCGCGAGCTGAACGATCAAGCCCGCAAAAATTCGGCCGGGAAGCGGCCGCGGACAAGTCATCGCGACGAGCGCAGGCAGTTTATTGCGGCCGCTGCTTGCTCTGAACAAAGGCTGCTATTCAGAGACAACGTGTGAAACCGGAACAATCTTGCTTTGTTCCTGGTTTGGTTAGTCCTTCGATAGTCCAGCCCGTGGACTGACGATAAACTGGGGCTGCGCTGTTCAGAAATATTTTTCCGAGATGATTGAAATTTGCCATCCGGACCGAGGGAATTAAATTCTTTAAGCGGTGTTCATAGCAGGATCTTACATATTTAATCGTCCTAAATTTTTCCTCAGATACTTCGCAGCCAGTGAAATTCAATCACCATCAGGGAATTGTCGAAACGCGACTTTTCAGGCTCGTGTTTGCATCTTGAGTTTGCTCTTTTATCTTTTAATCTGTGACAGTAAAATTATTCTCAACTGATACATCAAATAAAATGAAGCGAAGTACGGAGGCTAATTCGACCACAGAGGAGAAAAGTTTCCCCGTGGATTCGGTATTGAAAAGAAAGAACAGATGTACATACACGAACACAGGACATAAGGCCGAAGAAGAATGTTGGCAGGAAATTCTTGATGATACCAACAAATATGTCAGGACATGTACACACGCCTGTAGCAGTTTTAAAAGGTTAAACCGACCTCAGACTACCCCAACAGGTAGCTTAAGTTTAAGCTGGGTGTAACGCAAGACTGAGTTACAAAAATGTGTCTTTGAATACAAAAGTGTCACTAGGCTCTTCTTCTTCTTCTGTCGTTGGACTATGACTAAACCAAGCTCGTTTGATCTCCTCGAGTGGCACTTGAGATATATCTACAGCGCGATAAGTCGTATCGTCTAAATTGCCGTGTACAGCACGTCACGCGTATACTGACGTGTATAAAAAATATCACTTTGTGCCTTGTCGTAAGGCTGGCCGCGATCGCTCGGCACGCACGTTGCGTTCGATCGCGTCCCTGGGCGTCCCGCGGCTCCGAGGATCACGTAGTTGTTCTCTACGTGCCCGTCTATATCTCGCCGCCGTAAATGCGCAAACTGATAAAAAGCAGCCGCGGGAAGGGCGACGACGAAGTTCTCGGCTGGATCGGGTAATCTCGTGATTCGGGCTGCTTTGTCATAGCGTAGGCTATCATCGGCCGGTCACAACGGTACATTCGCGAGCGTCTGCTCTCTTGTCTGCGGCAATAGCGAGTTCTCTTAAAATTCCCGGAGCCGAAATTCTCCGGTCGAACGCAGCGCTGAGATGAGATGTGCTCGCTGCTTGCGAACTGTGGTCGCGATAACGAATTGAAATTAATCTTATACAGGGTGGGGAAAGAAGGTCGGACTTCCTGAATAACCTTGAAAATATGCAGGATAGAAAAAAGATTAAATATAGAAGCTGTAAGGTTTTAAGTGACGCATCACGTAGAAATTTTTGTACCTTGGACTTTGGACAGCGTTATCGAGGGAAGATCGTAACAAAACTTTTGTCAACGTGATAATTTTGAAATTTCCAGAGGTCAGGTTAGCAAAAATCAAAGGACTGTATTGTAACGGCATATTGTTGAGACCAAATGGAGTAAAAGAAAGTCCAGTGCCACTTTTCCTTCCGACAAATAATTGCCGAGGTATCGTAAGCCAAACGTTGATAAAGTTACCAAGCTTTCCTTAAATATCTCAAAAAATACTAGGCAGGTGAAAAAATGTTTCAGGCAAAAGTTGCTGAAATTAATTGGTAGAAAAAGACGATGTGATAAAAAATGGGGGTTTCCATTTAAAAGATTCAAGGTGATCTTCCGGTGACCTTGATGACGCTACTCAAGGTCATCTTGGTAGAGCTATGTGATGCGTTACTTGAAACCCTACAACTTTTGTATTTAACATTTTTTCCATCTTGCATATTTTTAAAGCTATTCAGAATGTTGAGGCGTTTTTCGACCCTGTATACATATTACTATTATCTTTTTCTGGGAAAATAAACAAAAATGTGAATAACGTTTGTAATTTTCGAGAGAAATTAACTGTTTTTATATATATATACTCAATGTATAGGGTGTCCGGAATCTTTTGGAAATGAAAAATTGTGAAGGTTGATCAGATCAAACTGAGAAGAAAAGTCAAGTAACATTTTGCAACAATCGCAATAGTTATTAAGTTATTAATGATAGAAAATGATCACATCTAGAAACTATTTTAATTTATAATTGAAAATATTTGAAAATTTACATACTTATTGCAAAATGATAGATGACTTTTTTTTCAAAATGACTTAATCTACAATTATATGACGGCTATTGTCTAGCGAGAGGTTCAATATTAAGGGTTCAAAGTTCAATATACTCATATCCGTCGCTAGACATAATAGTCATGTAATTGTAGATCAGATTGGAATCGTAGATCATCCTGAACATAAAGGTCCTTTATTATTTTGCAGATAAGCACACAAATCAAGTTATCAATTAAAAGAGCCTCCAGATGTGGCCATTTCCAACTAGATTTCTAGATGTGGATGGACATTAATAACTTAATAACTATTGCGATTTTTGCGAGATTGGGGGTACTTGACTTTTCTTCTCAGGTTGATCTGATTAATCTTCACAATTTTTCGTTTCCAAAAGATCCCGGACACCCTGCGTATGAAGCACTCGGTATGAGTGAGCGCTGCTGTAACGTTGCTGACATGATAATGTCTTGGGCATTTTTTGCTGCTACTTTTCTGCCCGGGCGAGCAAAATATGTTATAATTTCGCGAAGATTCAACTCTGAGCGTAGTTTTAGCGATTCAGTGAGACGACCACATCTCTTCTGTCAGCGCGATGGGAAAATACTTGTAACTGTACCATGACAGGGTGCGACTTCCGGCCGCCTTCGAGGTCCTTCAGGAACAGATCCGCCGACACGCGCGAGTCGCTCGTCCGGAGCCATTCGTCCAGCGTGCTCGAATGTTTCTGCTGCGGTAACCACCTGCGAAGCGACAGTGACGTTCATTTCCCCGTGGAAGTTTCAGAGTCGCCGGGCGCCGCACAATGGGGATAAATAGAAATTTACCGTTCAAAAATCGCTAGAGACCACAATTTTATAGCAATCGAGATGCGTTTTTTTTTTTTAATTAAACGTTGATCAATGTAAAAAAAAACTGTCGAGCCCGATTTTTGAAAACATTCTTTTAAATTTTGCAGTATTAAAAGGAATTTGTAAGAAATTATCAAGTTTTGCGAGCCTCTGTTACAAATGGAAGAAACTTTCCATTTTTTCGCTGCGCAGTACAGTGTACTAAGGTTTTCAGCATCGCTGATTACGAATCTGATACAAAACTCAGAATTTGGCAGTTAACAATTGCTAATCTCCTGTCAACATAAATAAAATCATTGTTTTAACGCAGTATGTGCGTTGCGATAGATAGAGTATACAAAGCCGTTCAACATAAGTGTGAAGTCCGATATGAAGTATGATAAAAATAACAAATTTAACGGAAAAAATAATTTGTTTATAACAGAATTGTTCTCACGAAAATCAAATATGTAGCTTTGATCTGATGTTTTCAAATCATCAAGCATCAGGTTTTCAAAACAATAATTTTCTAAATACATTGTTTAAACAATTTTGTTACAAACAAATTATTTTTGCAACTTTTTCTCGCCGAATTTGTTCTTTATACTACTTACTAAGAAGACAAGATTGAAGAATTATCCAGCCAGTGAAGGCAAAATTAAAATAAAAAGTTGTCCGACCAATGAAGGCGAGATCAAATATATTTTCTAAAATACATTAATTCCCATCGTTTTTTAATAAATTTTCTGCTGCGGCATCTATAGTTTTGATTTTTTGTAATTTGTTTTGTAGGGATGTGCGAATCAAGAATTTTTCTGTCGAATCGAATCGAATCGAATCTCATTTTTTAAATTCGAATTCGAATCGAATCAAATCCATGAAATTTCATTCGAATTCGAATCAAATCGAATCGAACCATTAAAAAATTTAACATGAATATTAAACGTGCAAATAATGATGGAAGATTTTAATATGAAAGGGAATATTAATATTGTAATATTATCTTAAAATAAAATATATATTTAAATATTTATAATAATTTATAATTCAGTTATTAATTACAAGTTAGGTTAATTACAGTAATTAAACATTATTAATTAATAATTAATTAAAAATAAGTTAAGGGTTCAAATATACAGGCCCAGATGGCCTGGTTTTATAACTGATACGCACAAACGCTAATATATTTCATTCGTATTCGAATCTTCGCGATTCGAGATTTTCGGATTATTCGGATTCGAATCACAGGGATTCGGATTCGAATCACAGGGATTCGGATTCGAATCACAGGGATTCGGATTCGAATCACAGAGATTCGGATTCGAATAGTTCGCACATCTCTATTGTTTTGTATTTTACCTGTGAATCACCGGCGAGAGCAGGCTCCTGTCGACGCACGAGGGGTCGTTCGCACCTGTTATCCAGGTAACCAAAGCGCCCACCAGCAGCACCACCAGCGTGCCGAGAGGAGCGAACCAATGATACGACAATCGGTACAACGGGAACACGTCCGCCTCGCTGAAAAACAATGGAAACGGCGGTTGATGCAGAGCGACTCGAACCGTTCTCGAGGAAGACTGCGCCTGACGCAGCCGCCATATCGTATGCTAATCGGTCTGTTTTATCGCCCCTCGGGATTTAGCGAAACGTCCCTCGTGCTTTCTTCTTTCTTATTCGCGTGAAGGGCGTTAGCTCCTCGGCTCGGAGGGAACTCGGCGGAGCCGAGTGAAAGCGGATCTTGCTTACTCGTGTTGTTGCTCGAACATCAGCGCAAAGTCGTGACTGACGTTTCCGCAGTGCTCGTAAGGTATCGGCAGCTTCCTCGGCCTCAACACATCTGAACCGATGGCTGCGTTCGCCCCGAAGCTCGCCCAGCCGGACACCGCGAATCCGGCGATGGTACCGATGAAGGCACCCTGAAAAAGTAACGAAGTAGCTGTAGAAAAGCTCTCGTTCGCTCTCCTCCCGAGAGAGCTCGGCTGATATCTCGTCGAGCGTACCTCGGAGTTTGCCCATGGGAACAAGATTCCCAAGGTGAAGACGCCGAAGGACGTCCCGGCGGCGACGGCGGCCAGGCTGTTGGTCACCTGGCGCACGATAAAAGGTTACCAGCAGCGCGCTAACGTTTGTGAATAGCAAGGCAAACGCGAGATACGGTTCAGACACTCACGGACAAGACCCCGCCGAGCTTCTCGACCAGGAACACGAAACTCAGCGCGAGCAGGCCGAGCAGGACGACGAGCAGTTTGACGAAAATGCCGGAGCACTGTTCGCTAGGCTTCATCTTGAAGCAACCCTTCACGAAATCTTCCAGAATCACGACGGACGTCGAGTTGAGGCCCACCGACAACGAACTGCGGCAGAAAACAAGACCGGATCCTGACTCGCTTGATCGAAAATCAACACTCGCCCTCGGCAAAATCAGCTGCCGTAATCGATGACTGATAATTGCATAATATTGTATTAATTCGCATCACGAGGGTATAAATAAGAAATAGACAAGCGATAAATAAGATAAAATATGTGATATTTTACGCGATAATGACACGATAATGACACGACCTGGCCAGTAATAATAATATGCAATTGATAAATCGACAACAACCGGTCGCCCGTCAACGCCGTACCTGAGCGCCGCGCCAAAAATCCCGGCGATGAAGAGGCCGGGTATCCCGTGCAGATGGCGAGCTATCTCCATGACATAAGCCGGCAGCAGTTGATCGTCGGCCGTAATTAAGCCGGAAACTCTTGGATCGCATTTTGGCGGCGACCACCAAGCGAGGAGGACCAGGCCGCACCAGCAGCACAGCGAGATAAACACCATTATGCCGAAGGTAAATAACGCGATGGACCTGCAATCGTAATGTCGTCGCCAAGGATCCGCGCGAGAGAGGGAGAGAGAGAGAGAGAGAGAGAGAGAGAGAGAGAGAGAGGAGAGAGAGAGGAGGAGGAGAGAGAGAGAGAGAGAGAGAGAGGCGACATTTCTCACGGCGTGCGCGCTGACGGAAAAGACGAAGCTGAATCTCGCGAGAATCACGGTTTCTTTCGTGTCTCGGTCTTTTGCTTTTTGCTACTCGAAGAAAAAGAGTAGCGATCGGCGTACAGTATATAATTGTTATCATCCTTCCTCTTCCGGATGTACGAAAATGATCGCTAACCCTTTGCACTCGGAATGCCAGCACAGCTGGCATAGACATTTATTCCGGCAACTCGGAGTGCCAGCTGCGCTGGCATGAAACATATCTAACTTTTTCAGGCTACAATAGGTGAAATTTCGTCCCACGCAAATTTGTGGTCTTGTGAAAAAACTTAACCACACTGACACACACCGACAATTTTATAGGTGTTTGTTCACATCATCAGTAGTGACAACATTGTGATAAAACAGAGCAAAGCAGAGCAGCGACGAAGTACGTGTCACATTTGGAAAAATTATAAGATGCAAAATAAAAAAAAAATGTTGTCAGCAAATTTATGTACGGATGATACAATTATCGAGTTGGTGGGAGGAAATGTGGAAATATTTCGAGCGCAAAGGATTGATATATCCTCGCGGCCGGAAGCACGTCAGCGGCGCGACGGCGAGAACGCGTTGGAACGGCGCGATCGGCGTACCACTGGGACATCCTGGTGCTCTCCAACGACCTGTATCGCTGCACCATGGTCTGATTGACGGAGATGTACGCGGTGCAGTAGAGCCAAGAGCCGAACAGCACCGTCCACACGGTGTGCCTGGTGTAGGGCGACGGGTCGAAGCTGCAACGTAGGGGAAGGTGAGGCAGATCTCGAAGGACACGTGCGCGTGCACGGCTTCCGCGAAATCCTGTCGCGACTCTTACTTGAGGAACTGCACGCGATTGAGTTCGCTGGCCCTGCTCCAGACTTCGGACACTCCCCCGATGTGATAGGTACCCAGGGCGGTCACCGAGATCACCGCCGCCACCATCACGCCGACCTGCAGGGCGTCCGTCCAGACCACCGCCCGAATGCCGCCCTGCTCGAAAGGCCGCCAGTGAAATCGACGGAAATCCACGCGCGCGTGTTTTTAAACCGGGAACGACCTCCGGGGTCGGACGCAAGTGCGGACGCGGATGGGAAATGGATGGAGCGCTACCGCTGTCCAGCAGGAAAATCGCTGTCCCGGGGATTGCGAAGGAACGGACTCTTCTCCGTCGGAGACGAGAAGTCGGATGACGGGGAACACCGGCGGGCGATTTAAAAACGGGCGATTGTTCCGAGCGGCGTAATTACGGAAGATTGCGGAGATTGCCGGCGATTACATCGATCACGCTCCTCGCTCCTCGTCAAGCCGCCGAAACAGAAGGAAGCGAGACGCGACCCGGACGTCGCCGCGCGATTATTTATTTCCGCGATAATGGGACGGAATGGCTTTTCGAGTGCTTAGAGATAACAGGCCGGCGGGCGGGCGGGCGGCGCGCTCGCGCACGCGGCGCATAATAAACAAATTTGTAAAGAGCCACTCAACCACGATAAATTCTCATTAATACGAGATCCAACAAATTGCTCGGATAATTACAGGCGCGCGATCCCGCGATTAATCACTTCAGCGCCGGCTTTGTGATCCGCCGCTACGATAACAACCGCTCGACGTTCTCCGCGCCATTGTTTCCCCCGCGCCATTGTCGGAGGGGGGCTTTCAGTTTCCGTCCATAAACATTTCCAGTACCTAAGGCTCTCGCGTGAGATTCTTCGCGGCATTGTCCACCGAAAATTGTTTCCTACGGCAGACCGTGTCCGAGGAACTCCAGCCATCCCGCGGGAATTCGGCGAACGAGCCTCCCTCGGAAAATTAGCTTAGCCCTCCCTCACCCCCCCCCCCACCCACCCCACCGACGAGACCGTTTTCGTCGCTCACCAGCCTGGCACCCGCGCCACGCGTCCCTCGCTTATTAACGTTCACGAGCGCGAGACACGTGTGCGTGTTGCAATCGTTGGCGCGATCGCGGTTCTTCGATCGTTTTCTCATCATTCCCTTTGTAATTGTTCTCTCTTCCTCTCGCCCTCCCCTCCCTTCACGCTTCCTTGACGTCACGTCAAGACGGACGTGACGTCAAGGAAGCGTGAATTCGAGGTTGCTTATTTCTCGCAACCTGACACCGTACAATTAATTGACAGCTGAAGCGCACAAATGTGTAAAACACGAATTACGAAGCGTCGTTGACGTGCGAAGGAGACGTGAAGAGTTTGCCAATTACTTGGATTAACCCCTGAAGGCTACCCCCGATGACTGACTAAAGTTTCACCCCATGCGAGTTTTTGATCTTGTTAAAGAAACGTAACCGCACTGACAACAGTAATTTTATAATTTTCAATTTTAATTTCAACTTTAGTTTTACGGCTGTTTAATTTATTCGCACCATCAGTAGTGACAACATTATGACAAAACAGATGTCAATTGTCGCATATATTAGATTGGTGCAAAAATAATTGCGGTTGTTATCAGGTTTTTTTTAAGTTTGGCACCGATTCTTCTAGTTATTTTTTGTTATAGTCATGTGTTACATCATTCTAAACAATGAGATTGGCATTACTGATTTGAGTTATTTATGTTTATTGTTTTCATTCTTTAGTATTGTTGTTGGATATGACCTCTTAAATCAGTCATGGAAAAAAAGAAAATTCGCGCGATTTTGTTGTATGAGTTTAAAGTGAGACGTAAAGCAACGGAAACTGCTCGAAATGTCAAATTTGTTTTTGACGAAGAGTCAATTAGTGAACGTACAGCAACAACAGCTGGTTCCAAAAATTTCGGAAACGAAAGCTTTGAAGACGAGGAGGATCGTGGACGTCCTTCAACTGTAGACAATAATGACTTAAGAACCATTATTGAAGCGGATCCACGTAAAACAATTCGAGAAGTGGCAGAATAACTCAATGTTCATCACTCAACAGTTGTTCGACATTTGAGTGACAGTTGAAAAAACAAAAAAGCTGGGTAAGCTAATGTACCGAATTACGTCACTTTAAGCAAAAAGAATTAATTTTTAAGAGTTTACTTTTAAAACAGTAACTTGATGTTAGGTAAGACTATCAATCTTATTAAAAGTTATTATTTTGTTGTTTAGCGCAAACACATATACAAATTAGAAATAAACAAGATTATTTATTTATATAAAGGACTTAAGTGTGAACTGCAAATGTCTCGAATTACGCTCATTGAAATTGTAGGTCTCAATTTACGCCATCGATTATGCATCAAATGACGTCACTCTATATTATATTATATTATATTATATTATATAAAAACGATATAACTTTATAATATTATACTGTTTTATCATCTTTCATTATATTTTTATTTATTATCTTTTATTATATATTTTTATTCTACAAAATTAAAACATTTTATATTACTATCTCATTTTATCACATCATAAGATACAATGTCACTTCAAAGGTCAGAGTAATCATTTAGAAGCAAATTCAGTCGAAAATAGTCAAAAGTGGCAGATCTTTGATACGGGCTTTTGAAATTGCTTTCCACGGAAAATCACATTATACTATTTTCGTATACTTACTTTAGCGGAGCCACTTGACACATCACCTCACGACTGCTTTCCGGCAATTTTTAGATACCTTTACTCAGTGCTGTGTTTTATTACGCGCATAGAACAAGCTAAGGTGACGTAATTCGGATCAGTGGCGTATTCGGTATGTTTAATACCTTAAATGGGTGCTGTATGAACTAAACAAACTGGAGGTGTAATTTTTCTTCGAAGTCTTCGTATTCGAAGCTTCGAATTTCGAAATTTCGAGCATTCGAAGGTGTTCGGGAATCAAACGATACTTTTGTTAGCCACGGAATATAGAATATATAGTACGTGCAAAAACAAAGAACGCAGCCTCGGAAACAACCGCTTCTTCGAATATATCGAAGCTTCGAGGAGAGATATTTTCGAAGACTGGTCTTCGGAGCTTCGGCATAAAAAACTCGAACTTCGAAGTTTCGAAGTTGACTTCGAAGCTTCGAATCATTCGAATTCGGAACTTCGAAGCTGCCGAAGAGTAACAGCCCTAAAACAAACATCAATTATAAAAACCGCAATTATTTTTGCACCGATCCAATACTTGGCTACAAACCTAACAAGAGACGTTAGCTCGGGGTGTGATATTTGGTGGTAGCTTTTAGGGGTTAACAAGGACAATTGTCCTGCGCGCCCAGCGATCGGATCTCTTATCAGGCGGACGCGAGACTATCGGCTTACCAGAACGGTATAGAAGACGCAGACGGTGCAGACGATCGTCCCGATCAAGTGTATGTCGATGCCGCTCACTAAAATTGAACAATGACGAGTTGACAGAGAGAGAGAGAGAGAGAGAGAGAGAGAGAGAGAGAGAGAGAGAGAGAGAGAGAGAGAGAGAGAGAGCGGCTCGAGTGCCGCGCGAATAGCAAACTCCCCGGCGACATACCTTGATTCAATGCCAGCGCGGGGACGTAGACGACGATCGACTGGTAGAGTACCTGAAATCAGTCGGCTGTCTTTATTCACGCGCGAGTCCGCCCGGGATGGACCACGAAGGCGTCTCTCGCGCCATGACCCGAGCCGAGGCGGCCGAGGCCTCTGCGAAACTCACCACGTCGAAGACGAAAATGAAAGAAATGAGAATCCGCACGGCTCGACTGAATCTGATTTCCAAGTACTAAAAGAGGAGGAACGATACACTGTGTGAAGCTGGGCGCTGTTAAACGCCGTACATCGCCGTTCTCTAGATTTCCTGGAGTGGAGTCTCCTCGCGCCGGCGACGAGGCTAAAAAGCGCCGCTTCGTGCTTCTCGCAGCGAAGCGAGAAAACGTCGGTGAGCCGCGAGAGTGGAGTCTCGAGCTCGAGCTTAGAGCGGGTCCTGACTGAGATTTCAATCGATTAGAACACGCGACTGAGCGGGTTCACTCTTTGCTTCCGAGTACCCGCACTCGGCGACTCCGAGCGAAGAAGTCGCCGGAGAATCCCATAAATTCGAGAACTCCGCTGAAATTCCATCCCAAGAAATCTAGAGAGTGCGTCGACTCGCGAGCGCCCGCGGAGAGTCGATCTTGCGAGCTCGACTCGCTCACGCACCTCGTAAACGGAGCTAAGTCTCAGGGTGGTGAAGACCGGCAAGTAGACGGTGGCGACCACGAGGCCGGAGAAGAAGATCGATATGATCGTGATCCAATATTGCGTGCCGAAGTTGTAGATCTCCGCCGGGGTGCCGAGAATCGTCACGCCTGATATGAAGCTACAGTTACGATCGGAATTGATTAAATATCCTGCATGGCTAATCGAGATCGGGCTCGAGAACCGAACGACTCGAACGAGCAACAATCGCGTGCGGTGATGTCAATCGCGTTGACGCAAAATAGAAACAGCTTAGAACGAGCGCCGCGGACGCTTGGAAACGATCCGTCCTCTTCTCTCTCTCTCTCTCTCTCTCTCTCTCTCTCTCTCTCTCTCTCTCTCTCTCTCTCTCTCTCTCTTCCTCTTGCATGGAAGAGAGAGAAAGAGAGAGAGAGAGGGGGGGAAAGCGGAATTTTGCGGAAAATCTAAGAGGGTGAGGGATCTGAGAAGGGAGGGAAGGCAATCGTCAACAGATCGCGTCCTTCCTCGGCCGCTTCAAAATTCCTCGCGTCTCCAAGCGTCTCTCGGCCGTTCGTTTCTTCCTCGCTTGCTTCCACTTCGCTTCGCTTTCGTCTCTCCGGTCGTTTCACTCGCGCTTAATAGTCTGAAATGCCGCCGTACTCACCTGGCAACGAGAGACGCGGACACGGGGAAGAGGCCTAGGCTCTTCCCACCGAGCAGGTAGTCCTGCGTGCTCGACTTTTGCGCCCTTCTGAAGTGCCATAAGCCGGCCGCGGCGGACACGAGGAGCATAAACGCGAACACCAGCCAATCGATCCAATGGAAGTATCCTCTCTCCGATACGGCCGCCATCTTTCCTGCAAGCAAGGAAGGTGAGATCACCTTCACGCAAGAACAATCCGAGAGTCGTTTCCTTCGACCTCTGACAGTCATGACGAAATGCCGATTTATAGGATTCGGACACGCACGCGGAAAAGCCGAAGGCAACACGTAAGCAATAAGCGAGTTGAGCAATCGCAGTCGAATATTTTTGGGCCGCAGAAGCAACATGATGTCGATCGGTCAGTTTCCTTACGGCTTACGTCTTGCTTCAGTCTTCAGTTTTTCTGTGTGCCCGCGCTCTTAAGTTCATGACATGAAGTGGAATAACGTAAGCGACAAGACGTAAGCAGCGAGCTAATCAAGCGATCATGAGTGAAACGCAAACCGTGACTGCTTACGCCCTCAGCTTGCATTGCTTAATTCGCTCATTGCTTCCCGAGCAAAAAATTCTTGGGGCCATCCTGATGGAGCATAAGGCCCCGACAAGGCTGAAAGTAGGACACCCTAGAAAGAGGTACCTCATTATTACCGCTTACAGGCTCCGAGATGGATCTTTTGGGGATACCTTAGATTTTACGAAATAAGGTTTTGATAAGGAAAAACTGACGAGGGAGGATTAGAAGGATTTTTCAAAGATGCCTTAGATTTAATAAATAAAGCTTTGATAGGAAAAGCTGAGAAAGGCATTAGAAGGGTTTTTTAGGGATGTCTTAGATTTAATAAGTAAACTTTTGATAGCGAAAGCTGAGAAAGGCCTTAGAAGGATCTTTTAGAGGTGCCTTAGATTTAATGAATAAGGCTTCGATCTGGGAAAACTGATAAGAAGAAAACTTAGAAGGATCTTTTAAAGATGCTTTAGACATACAAAGTTTTGTTATAGAAAATTAATAAAATCTGAAGCGTGTAATAAAATTGTCATAGTTTAGTATTGTTTTAGTAAGTACGCTCTGTCTCTGGTTTTTTAAGGATTTTTTAATTATACCAATTAAAAACAAATTAAATTAAACAATTAAAAATAAATTTCATTAGTTATATTAGTTGCCATATTCATTAGTCTCTTCCAAGGATTTTTCTAGTATTGCCTTCGTTTTGAAATGCAGCAAACTGCAATAGAAACAGTAGCAGGAATTTTATGTATAAAGAATGCTATATTTTATTGTAAAGTATGCTATATTTTTTAAATAAAAAATTCTTGTTATATTCTAACAAGGTTATAAAGAAATAAAGAGATTACAGTCTAAATTTCTTGGAATGAAAAGAACGGATATTTTTACTCAAGCAATAATAAAAATATTTCCTTATAGGGTCCTATTGATATTGCCTTATAAGGACCCGTTACACCATTTTTTAGACATCTCGTAGGGCCCTTGTTGTCCTTTCTATCCCTACAGGGACTCGATTAATACGAAGGAAAAATAATCAGACCCTTATCAGAGCCCTATTAATTTTTCTACTCGGCTTGCGTTTTCCTACGTGCCAGCCGCTTTACCTCCGCTCGTCCAGCGGTCGAAAGTCTTCCCGGCCTTCGCGATCTAACGAGGAGTGCGCCCGAACAGACATTATTTAGAGCTATTCACGGAACTGAATGCTAATGTCGACAAGCGCAATCACGCCGTCCTTAAGCGGTGGCCGCGCGCTGCGGAACAGAAATCGTAAAGTCCCCAAGTCGTAAGGTCGTAAGTAAATTGATCAATCGCAGTCAATTACTCTCCTCGCGCTTGAAGAGTGATCGGCTGGGATTGGTCAATTTTCTTACAACCTTAGGACTTTAGGACTTTGCGACTTCTATTGTAGGCTTTAAACGCCCGAGGTGCATTCAGGCAGACGCTATAAGCCCGAACGCTACCAACGTTGCTCGCGGAGCCGATGCTAAGGGTGTCGATAGCGTTTGCGTGATAGCAAGCTCCGTGGCGTAGCGTCGACGTTATAGCGTCTGTCCTTCGCCCCCCCCCCCCGCGGTTGCAACACCCTCCGGACATTTTCTTCAACGCAATCGTAGCGAGGTAATAAATACGTCGCTCGACAATCGCCTGCGGTTCTGGGCGTTCACGGGGCTCGCAAACGCTAACGCTAACCCCGAGTGCGTTCGGGAGAACGCTATTAGCGTTACCGAAACTGCCCGTGGAGTCAATAGCGCGATAACGATAGCGAGCTCCGCGAATAATAGCGTTACCGCGTTATAGCGTCGTTTTCGCCGTTAAACACCTTCTCGGTTTTAACGTTTCGAGAATTTATCGCAGCGCCATATTGTCTCCGTTGCGTAAATAAATAATAGTAAAATAATAAGCACAACGTATACCGGTATCGTTCGACCAGGTTTGGGAAATAACTCGTTACTTGTAACGAAGTTACAGTTATTTTTTTTGGTAGCTATAACTTAACTTCGTTCCGTTTTTTTCCATCTGTAACTGTAACTTGACTTGGCTACATTTGTTTGATAACTAGTAACTGATTTAATAGTTACTTTATATATTTCAAACTTTAGTTTCTGGCAGACTAGCGCGATAACGTGACGTGCGATGCTTGATATCCAATAAGCGTACAGTTATATTCTGGTTGCATTTGGAAGACGCGCTATTGCGTCATCTGTCTTCATCGTTCATTAGATGTAAAACAAGGATAAAATGACGCAATAGCGCTGATAATCTCCTCTCCGAACGCAACCTGTATTTCTTTCAAAAAAACTTGTACGCCTATTGGACATTTCCGTCGCCGGTCCTTATTTGTTAACATAACTTGCGTTCAGCGTAAAGTGCGCTGCGTGGTTTCGGTTATATAAAAAATTTAAGCAATAGATAAAATATCTCAATCTTCGGAGAAGGATTGTAAAATGCCATGGCCAGCATATGCAGAAATATTCGAGTTACAGCAAAAACTTGAAAACGAGAACAACTGGACATTTCTCTGCTCAGTTGTTATTAATAATCTTAAAAAAATAAATATAAATTGCTCATTTGAATTAACGAATCTAATTCTAATAAAAATTATATACGATATGAGGAATATGATAATCAACAAACTACTTTTATGCAAAATTGAAGGAATTTACACAATTACGAAACTTAAAATAATGGCACAATTATTGTAAAAAAAAGTAACGACTCGTGACTTTCTAAATAACTATAACTGCAGCATGTTATTTTTGAAGGTCAGTATCTTGTAATTGTAACTAGTTACTTTTTCAATGAAAAAAAAAACTATAACTGTAACTGGATTACTTTTACAAAGTAATTTTCCAACTCTACATTTGACGATCATGTGCAAACAACAATAGCGTAGCGTTAGCGTTACTGCGATGTAACGTCGTTTCCGCAGCGTTTAAACGCCTTTTTGGCTATAACGTTTCAAGGATTTATTATAACGCAATTATCAACATCAACATAAATAAGAGTAAAGCGCTTTGAGCGCTCACGGAGCTTCCAAACGCTAGCCAATGTTTTAAGCAAGCTTCTTAACTCGCCAGCAAATTCGCTGGTCAAAACTTCTTCTAAACGTTCGATTTTTATTCGCTAGAGTCTAAAATTTAGGAGACGCGGCGTCTGGCTCAAAGTCGAACATGTCCAACTTCGTCGCAGCGACTATTGGACGTCGCGCGTCTTCTAAATTTTAGACGCTAGCGAATAAAAATCGTACGTCCAGAGGAAGCTTTTACCAGCAAATTCCCAATTTTAGACGCTAGCGAATAGAGATCTATTGTTTAGAAGAAGTTCTCACCAGCGAATTCGCCGGCGAATTAAAAAGCTTGCTCAAAATGAATGAAAGGCCAAAGTGAAATAAAAACCCTTGCCGAGATCGGTTTCGGAAACGTTTTAGTTATAACGTTTAGTTATAAGTGTAGATATAACGTTTTAATTACAAGTTTTAGTTATAACGTTGGTAGGCCTTCTAAGGATCACGCTTGGACGTCAACAGTTATATACTGTTTCTGTTTACAAATCTGGCTTTAGCTACTAATTTTGTGGTATTAGATAGAGAAGTGGATAGACATTTTCTTACGTATTATCTTGAATCTTCTGATCGTAACGTCGATCGCATCTAATTAATTTCGTACTTCAGTTAGTTTCAGGCCTACCAACCTTACAACTAAAACCAAATTTCCTGAAACTGGTTTCGGAGCAGGCCTAAAAGCAGCACCGTGTGAATTACCCTTTAGTCAGCCATGATAGCGTTTCTTGGCATCTAACTCCGTGAACAGCCTGCAGCGCTAAAAGGCGCCAATAGCGAGCGCACCCTGTCACTGTACTCGACGATTACCGAATAGTAGCGCTACGTCATACTTATTCTTCAGATAAAAAATCTCCAGGGTGTTCGAACTGAGCTTAAGCTGAGCTGGAAACAACGCTACAACATGGCAACCCTAAAAGCGAGAGTCTCGCGAGAGAGAGACAGACTATCAATATCTGCCACTATCTCTCTCTCTCTCTCTCTCTCTCTTGGCTTCTGCTGTTCTACTTTCTACTTCTCTGCCAAGGGGTGAATTCTCCCTAAATATTCGTATTCACACCTAGGCAAAAAAGCAGAAAGCAGAAAGGTAGCAGCCGCGATCAGAACTCGCGCTGATGGTCTGTCTCTCTTGCAAGAGTTTTTCTCCCTGTCATTCTCTTGACTTCTGCCAAAGTGTGAATCCGCCCTAACTGAGCTTGCTATCGCTACCGTTGTCGGCTTCGCGCACAATCTCGACAATGTTACACACTATACGAAACTAGAGTTGCGCCGATTATCGGCTGATCTCTCTCTCTCTCGCTCTCGCTCTCTTACCGGATGGTATCCGAAGAAGCCGGAAACGCCGGCGATCGGCGGGCCGACAGCCTCGATCGCCGCGCGATTTCGGAGCGCGCGCCGGAAGTACGTAGGAAGTGCGTACGCTTGTAAAACAGCGCTACAGTCGCTCAATTACAGCGCGTGTCGGGGCTGTTGTTCGGCGCCGTTGCAACCACGATGACGAGACGAGCGAGATCACCTTCGGGCCGCGCGCGTGCAGGTATTAATTACTAAGGACTTAATGACTCACGTCGCTCTCAATAATCGCCGCATC